AAAAACGTTTTGTTGCAATTATGTCCAACTTCGGTGCTTCAAATCCGTATTTCTGGTGGACTATTAGTTGTGCATAGCTAACAACAAAACGTACAACTCCTTGATCAAAAACTAAAATTGATGATATGTTTCCAAGTAACAATTAAACTCATAAGCACTGCACCATGGCCTATAACAAAATTGAAATTTGTTTTGATTTTGCTTAATACATACACTTGGTCTGGTCCACTTTGGGTAGCTGCCACTTGAACTTGTACACATACTTGTTGCCTTTCGTAGTGCTGGAGTACCTATTTGCCTGTCAGTAAAATCAGATTGATCAGATTGCTGGGCAAGTTCTTGTGTATTTTCCCCTGTACCTTTGTCTTCTCTGAGCGCATCAATTGCTTTGGAGATCCTTCGTCTGTCTCCAAATTCATTTACTCCTATTTCTTTTAAATCACCTTCCGTCATTGTTATTAAACACTCCATTTCTACAGCATTATCTGTAGAAAAGAAATATTAAACTATATATTAACTCAATTATAGCAAACATTAAATTTAAATTACAATTTGCACTGTTTTGCAAACCTAACCTCATGTGATATTCAATAATGTGGATCAAGTAGACTGTGAGTAGTAGGTAGGCAAGAATTTTATTACTGTAGTACTCCGATGAACTAGGCAATTTTTTTTTACAATTTTAAACAGGGAATTTACGATACATGAAAATCATGGAAAGTTGCATGAAACAGCCAAATGTAATATTAAAAATTATGCTATTTTAGTATTTATTATTATCTTGCAATTGTCAGGTGCTCTATTTACTATTTTTATTACTAATTTTATCTATGACTCCTTACTGCATCTGGGAAAACAAGTTTTTTCGTTTTCAATGTTCCATTGGTTATAAAAATAATTAATATATTATTCTGAGTCTAATTCCATAATTGTTGATGAAATAAAATTTACTTAAAAGGACTACATAGGCCTATTGTTACTGTATCAAGTAATGATAATTAAAATAATCTTCCATTTGTGCAATTCCATACAGGCCCTAGGCTAGGTTAGTAATAGGCAGCAGGCCCAGGGTTCTACCAGGCCTAGGCTAGGCCTATTTATAACCTAGGCCTAGCCGCACTAGGCCTAGGCCCCTGTTATACTAGATAAAGCCTAGCCTAAGCCCAGGTATGCATTCACTCTCATAACTACTAGCCTAGGCATATAGGTAGGTAGGAGGATAGTTTAGTAACTTAGGCCTAGCATAGAGCCTATACCTAGCCTAGAATTAGAAGACCGTAACAGGCATTTAGGCCTATAGGCCTAGGCTAGGCCAGGCCTTGGTAGGCTAGTCCCTGGTCTACCCTAGGACCAAGTCTTCCTGAGTGTCCGGCTGGCACATGGCTATATAATACGGCCTAGGACCAGGCTAGTGGCCTACAGGCTAGCCTGGCCTAGGCCTAGAATAGGCTAAAAAAAAAGGCGCCGTAGCACCACACTCCGGCCAGGCCCTGTATGTGTAGTTGTCACTCCTCACTCACTCACACAGTCGCATCACACTCAGTCACGGTGAAAACCTTTTATGTTGACTTAAAATTAAAGTATAAAATTACCTTCAAATATTTGCTGTATTTCTGGGCTAAAATGGTTATCAGTTATGAAGCCATGGACATTGGCAAATGCTACTTCTTCCAAAAGCTCATCCATTATTAACGACTTACACATATGCGGCCAGCAAAATGGAAGGCAAGAGAATCATCGAAAGAGGCGCGAATCGTCTGCTGGAAACCAACTTTTGATTGGTTGGGATACAGAGAATGATAATTTCTAATTGGTCAAAGTTTTACTCTCACTGCTGGAGTGAAATTATTTGGGCACTTCTTCTGTCGAGTGATTAAAGCCATTGCTGGACCGGACAAAAGAGTGAATTGTCACTCGTATGGAGTGAAAATTAATTCACTCTCGATTTCGAGTGAGTTGTTCACTCTTTTGCATTTAGAGAGTACCAATACATGTAGGCCTATATATAAACAATATTTTCATAAATGATTTATAAATTTTCATCTTATAGTTTATTACTTTATTTATTGACATCTTTGGTCATGTGGAAGTGTGTGACGCAGAAATGTTCAATGAATGGCGATGATGTAGGCCCCTATTATTATATTTATGAAAATAACAATGATAACGAACGATAAAAATATAATGCTTGTGACGTGGAAACACTCTAAAAGCTGAAAGTTCAAATTAGGAATTAAATCACATGGGGAAAATGTGGCAAAGACAAGCCAAACCAGTCACTCGTCGCAAAAATCGATTTTGAGTTATTAATACAGTGTTAGAGAGTAAAATAATAGCTATAAAATTGTAAAATAATCATTCAAATCAGACATTTCGTTATGAAGTTACAAGCGTTTAACCACACAACTGTTTAAAGAACAATATATGAGAAATTAACCGTCAAAGTTTATGATTTCAGGCATTTCTCACGCAGAAACTATCTTTAAATTCTTAAAAAGTATTGTTTTAACATTGAAAATGGGGAAAATAACAGTATAGAATGATGTGTAGATATATAAAGGTTAGTTTAATGCAATAAAATAGATTTTTAAAAATTTGACATTCCAGCATGTTTTTGGCCATTTTCTCGGAAACACGATTTGCGACGAGTGACTGGTTTGGCTTGTCTTTGCCACAAATAGCAGTTATTTTGTTTTGATAAATTCACAAGGTTATAATTAATAAATATTTGGACTCATAGCTCAGTTGGTAGAGTATCCCAATTGTAATTGCAAGAGTCCAGTAGAAATAAGGTTTAACCCCCAAAAAATTGCAACAAAAGGTTTTTCAACGGATTTTGGTAGTATTGAGTGTGCTAAAAAACATTAAAACCCAGGTCATATCTTAATTACGGACATGCAGGGTGAAGGCAGAACAGAGACAAAAAAAAAAGAAACAAAAAATCAACTACAAATAAAAACAATTCTCTCACTCAGGCGAGTGTCTGGCGTTCCAGCTGGTCAATGCCAGTTCGCTAATTTGCGTTTTATACTTTTTACATCGTATATTAAATCAAATTAAATGAAAAATGGAAGAAGCATAGGAAGAAAGAAGAATAGGAAAGAAATTTGGAGTGGCTAAAAGATTTACCGAAAATAGACAATAATAATCATTTTGTCATTATTGCATCACATTTTTGTGAAAATCGTCAGAGGTCAAGGTACCTGCAGCCTACATGTTTCGTATATACGACATTGATGTCGAATTATGAAAAGTGTAGGCTGTTGCACCGAGACCTCTGACGATTAGTGCCCAAAAATGTTTAAAAAAATGTAATTCAATAATGGCATATTGACTACTTTTGTATATATCTATTACTATATTATTTAAATATACAATTTTAATAGATAAGATTAATTTAACATAAATTTAAATATAAATAATATATATACTAATGTTAAATAAATAACAATAATTAAATATGGACATAGTATCACTACTACAATAATAAGATTAATATTTTTCAATCTTATAATCAATTTCATATAGCCGGAGTTAGTATTGACCTATGGCTAACGACAGGTACGCTTTCTCCAATAATAAGGTTTTTTTCTATGAATGGAATGACCTGTACGAAGCACGAGCTCCTGTGACCAAACCAGTACCGTTACGATTTTAATCGTGCGGGAAATACACTCAAGATAATTTAACTTCCAACCATGCCAATCAGAAAACGTCTTTAAAAAATATATGATTTTTAGTGCTTGGTTGCAACAGATTTACCAAGAGATTATGAAAAGACACTTCAAAGTCATCTTCTGTTTACCATGTTGAGTGTTACTTTCTAAAATTGTTAATGTCAAATATATTGACGTAAGACAAATTAGCCAATCAGAAAGCTTCTTAAAGCAGGTTATTTCAAAGATTTGTTGACATAGAGTAAGTTAAAAAGCGAAAATGTTATATGATAAATAAAACAATGCTGGATGTTTTTTTTTAAATTACATACATCATTAACAAATAACAACAATCAATGCTAATATAGTTATAATTACTGATTTATGGCTGTTTATACATGGCGGGCATTAGCACACCATTTTGAATTTATTCATATTGGTCAGACCACATTTAAAATTGTCTCAAATGACTTATTGACCCATAAACCCTGATATTGATGATAATATCCGCAATTACAATACCGTACAATTTGTAGCTGTTTTATGATATTGGCGCCATTTTGGCGGCCATCTTGAAAATAAAAAAACACTTTTCGGTGGTCGGATTTTGTAAGACTTTTTGTATGTTATTTAGCACTTTTAATACTACCACAATCTGTTGAAAAACCTTTTGATGCAATTTTTTGGGGTTATGCCCTTTTTGAGCTATATCTACTCTACACTGGTTAATTACTTTGTTTTGTTTTTTTTTTGCATTTCGATATTGCCTATATGTATTTTAAACAATCATATAAATGTAGTAGCGTGTATTTTTGTATATTTTTTTAGTTAATCTTAAGTACCTTTAAATTTATTCTATATTATTTATTTATATTAATCCACTATCCTGTATCCAAAGAGGCTATACCATGCAATGCTGTCTTAGCCTGTAGGTTAATGACCCATTGAACATTCCATTTCCTGTAGTCAAATAGATACCACCAGCTAACCCTCTCCCGAGAGTTGGGTGGTATGCTGTCGACATACCTGAGGAAGTGTAGGAAACATCTTTTCAACATCAAATGATGTATTACCGGACACAGGAAATCGGGAATGGACAGTGACTTTGGGTGTTAGGCTAAAGGACCAATGATAATTGAATACACGATTAAGTAGGGTGGAGCCAGATCCCCTACATATACCCAGAATATCCAAGGAAACAAGAGAGAACAGGAAAGAAGGATAAAGACACAGCAGAGAAGAAGGAACACTGAGAGATCCCGATCGGAACTCCAGCACACAGAAGTATAGTCCTATAGTCGGATAGACTTAGGATAAATGTGAATTTTCTTCAGAAAGCTGTTGACTGGGAACCTTCCTGAATTAAAAAGGAAGAAGAATTACTACACTTTTGGTTTTACTATTTTCTTGGCTTGAATCAGAAGAACAGTTTGATTTGCTGTAACAAATACTGGTACCAAGTGCAACCAGACGATTGCAAGTGGAAGCGACATCTTCCTGAACTGGACTTTGTTATATCATTGGAACTCGCTGTTTTGCCGTATATTTGCTGCCAAGCAGCTAATTCATATTCTTCACAGCAATTTGACCTCTGAAAGGTCATTGTTTGTCAAAAAACAAGGGCCTAAGGCGACTGAAAAGCGGAGTTTCCTTCTTTCGTTCTGCCGGGTAAAATCAATTACTTTAGACGACATTTGTAGACTAACCTACTCGTACCAACGTCGCATGTCGCGACGCTGGAGTATTACTATTCAGCGTTTTTACTATATTTCTATGTTTCCTATTTCTACGTTTAATCGGCCCATGTCTCAGCCACAATATTTTGAGGCCAATATTATTTACGAACCCAGTTAAACTTATTTACTAGCCTATTTCAGCGTGCTAATTATTAAATTTAGGCGACGCCTATTGTAGACTGGCATACACGGTACGAGAACCAGTCAATTCGAGCGGATACCACTTCGAGCGAAGGCCAATTCGAGCGGAATTTTTTTCGAGCGGAGGCTAGTTTGAGCGGAAGAAGATCCACTTCTGCGAACAACCTGTGCGAGTTATATACGAAGTACTTCAAAATTTCCTATTTTTTAGCTAAAAATTTGACATTTTCAAAGAGGAAGGGGACACACAACAGTTCCAGAATAGATAAGTGAGTAGCATTAACTCAATTACAAGTATAATTTGAGCTAAAAATTTGACATTTTCAAAGGGGAAGGGGGCACACAACAGTTCCAGAATAGATAAGTGAGTAGCATGACTCAATTACAAATATAAGTTGCTTTTTTAAATTCAGAACATCAACCAGTGGCGGATCTGGGGAAGGGGAGGGAGGGTGGTGAATAGGGTGGCTAGCCAACCCACTTTGTTTACCGTAAAAAAAATAATGGTCACTCGTCTTGTGTGTGCTTCTCGTGCACTCTAGTAAAACATACACTTGCTTCTTTTTTAAGATGAAAAGTGCGCAGTTCTATTATAGTTTTAACTTGTTAGCGGCCATCTTGTTAGTCGGAGTTGCCAAGACTGTGATTCAAACATGGATTAATTATCAAAAAGTACTAAAAACCTTTCAGAACCTTAGTAATCAGAGCATTTTTTTGCATTTAAAACAAACAAATACAATAATACGGCGACGATAAATTCCCCTTGTTATAGTTCGCACTAAATGCATCCGCTTGAACTGGCATCCACTCGAACTGACATCCGCTCAAATTGACTGGCATCCCACGGTACCAACGCTGTTCTAATATAAACAATGGGTCGTGTCTCATATTATTTGTTATATTTTTATTATTCATTATTTTTACTTGACTCGCATAAATAATTTTCTTCGAAGAACATTTATATGCAGTTGTACTTCGCAGCACTTCACTTGCAATTTGCAATTTCTAGTCATAACTATTTTAGTTGGACTTCTTGCATTTATTATTATTTTACTTTCTACAAGCGTACGCTGCATTTCCGACGGTCTCACGTGAGTAGTTTCTTAGGTTAGGTCCAATTTATAAGTCCCCATTTGTAATCCCCATTGCCCAATAAATCGTTATTAAGTATATAACTAGAAAAGGTTCCTCTTGTTTTATTTGTGGCCATATATGTAAACATCTACTGACTGAGCCTGCGCGTAACTGGAACCCGAGCCCCCACGATGATGTGACGGGATTCGCTTATTTCAAGTAGTGGTCACCCGCTACATAAAATTTGGCGCCCAATGTGGGGCTCGGCAATAAGCGAATTTTAGTTTATCCTTTTGTTTAAGACCTTGTGTCACTAAATTTGTCAGGGCTCAGTAGCCACAAAACAATAGGAAACTTTTAGCCTGTTAATTACTTTGCATTTGCGTTTTTTTTTTTATTCCTTGATTTCGTTTATCATATTTCTCGCTTTAATTTTGTTCACTTAAACGATAAGCGGATGCTTGCAGTTTTCTAATTGATTTAATTGATATTTTCTTAGTATTATAATTGATAAAGACCATATTGTAATTTTAAATTTATTGTCGATTTCGTATAAGACTGCATTACCCACCTTGAATTTTAGTTTTGTTACCCCAGTAAAAAAAATACTGTAAATTTTTTTCTTTTCTTTTTCACTTTTCATTTAAAAATATTGTGTTAAAATGTCCTTAATTGATGTTGACCCTGAAATTTCTTTTGATATGCCCATTTTAAGCCCAGAAGTCCTTGCAGGGCAAGCTGATGTTGATCCGGCCCAGGACCAATTCTGTAGTCCACCTACCAAACCTGGACCATCTTCCACTCTACCCCCTCACCCTACCTGCTCGTCAGCCCCAGTGACATCTACCCCATCCCAGGCCACACCCCAGTTTTACCCCCTATATATGCTGAATCCTTTGGTTCAGCATAGGTTTCCCCTTTTCTCTGGGGCAACTAAACCTGGCCCTGGGGAAGCTTCCTATGAAGCGTGGGTTTACGAAGAGGAAGCGGCAATAGCCAGTGGCCAAAACCCTGAGGGGTTACTGCCGGCTATCCGTCGTTCTCTTCGTGGGGAGGCCTCTTAGGTCGCAATTGGCTTAGGGCCAACAGCGTCCCAGTCCAAGTTGCCCAGCCCCGAGCATGTTGCCTTCTCTAATTCCCAAGTCCAATCCAATGCCAACCATGGTTCAGTAATCGACACCCTAGACTTTAGTACTTCCCCTTTAGTTTTTGATAGGGTAAGAGAATTAAAGCAATTCCTACAAAAGTGGGAATCGGTTTTCTCTCGATATGATACGGACATAGGTTGTGCCACCGCTGTTAAACACAAAATCCCACTTACTGACCAACCCCCTTTCGCCAGCCTTACAGGCGTATACCCCATCCAATTTGCAGGAAGTTAGGGACCATTTAAAGGAGATGATAGATTATGGTGCCATTAGGGAATCTAACAGCCCTTATGCATCTCCGATAGAGTTAATTAGAAAGAAAGATGGTAGTTTAAGGTTTTGCGTAGACTACCGTAAACCCAATAATCTGACGGTTAAGGATAGCTATTCTTTGCCGAGAATTGAGGATACGCTCGACGTCCTTCACGGAGCAGTGTGGTTTTCTTCGTTAGATTTGAAATCAGGATAGTGGCAAATCGAAGTCAACGAAAATGACAAGGCTAAAACCGCATTTACTACCCATCTTGGCTTCTACGAATGCAACCGTATGCCGTTTGGGTTAACAAATGCGCCTGCTACTTTCCAGCGTTTGATGGAACGTTGTCTTGGAGAGCTAAATTTTAAATCCTGCCTTATTTATTTAAATGATGTAATTGTATTCTCTAAGACTGTTGACGAGCACTTAGTTAGGTTAAATTCTGTTTTCCAAAAGTTGCATGAATATGGTCTCAAATTGAAACCATCCAAATGTAACTTATTTACTTAAAGCCCCATTAGTTAGCATTAGGACAAGTGAGGCCATGGAATTAGTATCCATGGATTACCTTTCACTAAAAGAATCAAAGGCTGGGTATAATAGCATCCTTGTAATCACTGATCATTTCACTAGATACGTACAGGCCATACCTACTAAAAATCAAACCGCCCGCACTACAGCTTGTGTCCTATTTGACAACTATTTCGTTCATTATGGTTTTCCAGCACGGTTACATTCTGATCAGGGTAGAAACTTTGAGTCTGAAGTGATATCCGAATTGTGTAAGTTATGTGGAATTACCAAGTCACATACGACCCCCTATCACCCTCAGGGTAACCCAAGTGTGAGCGTTTTAATCGCACTTTGTTAGACATGTTAGGTACTTTGACTGATGATGGTAAGGCCTATTGTAGCCCCCTTAGTACAAGCGTATAATGCCACTACCAACAGTTCTACAGGATTCTCTCCATATTTCTTATGTTTGGTCGTCATCATCCTAGACTCCCTATTGATATTATTTTGAGTCTGAATAAGCAAAATAAAGGTTCATCTACCACAGTAACTAAGTACGCAAGCGATATGCAAAACCGCTTAGAAGATGCGTATAAGCGAGCGGCGGCGCAAGCGATCAAATTGACCAGCGCGAACAAAGAGGCGTATGACAGAAAAGCGCGCGATTCTGCTCTCCAAATTAATGATAGAGTTTTTGTTAGGTCATTAGGTTTTAAGGGTGCCCATAAACTTTTTGATAGGTGGGGTAGAACAACATATAAAGTAGTTAAGCGTGTAAGTCCTGATATCCCTGTATATGTTGTACAACCAGATGTTATGAAAGGCCCTGAGCGAACTCTTCACAGAAATCACCTGTTACCAATTCCGTCTCTTCCCCTTGATGATAATCAGCCACCCCAACCACATGTTACCTGAGTACATGACTCAAACGAACCGAGTACCAGTGGGCTCAGCGGTCGGCCAAAACCAGCTCCTCGACCGGTTTCCCCGCCCCGCACCCCGATCCCTGCACCTCGTCGCCACCCAGTCCCTGCCCCACGACAACCTTCCCCAGCCCCTCCTGGGCCAGTTCCTGATTCTTCTACTTCAAACCCGAGTAATATTCCTCCCGTACCACGCCCTAGAAGAATGACCAAACCCCCTGTAAGATTGTCATATGCTATGTCGGAAAGTAGTTCTTGTAATGATGCTAATTTGTTGTTTAAACTCTTAGAAGATGCGTCTACAGAAGCAGAACGGAATGCATCTTTTAGACGAATGATTCTGCAAACGTTTGCTTAAATTGCTATTGTTTTGATGTTTCTAAAGGATTTGTAGAATTTTTATCTATTTTTGTTACACATTGTAATTTTGTTTGACTTTATATTTATATTGCTCTTGTTTAAGTAATTTGTGTTAATTGACTGTTTCAATCAACGAATGTTGTTTGTAGTTTATAGGTTTTCTGTTACCGTATATGATGTTTTTTTACTTGATGATATTTTCCTTTAAGTTTGTTGTTCCCCATTTTGAATTGTTTTTATGCTTTGTTTTAACGGCAAATTTGAGGACTGAATTAGCCCTCCTATTTCCCTTAAGTGTAATGTCGGGACGACCTTCGCTAAAGCAGGGGAGGATGTAGGAGGGTGTATTTTTGTATATTTTTTTAGTTAATCTTAAGTACCTTTAAATTTATTCTATATTATTTATTTATATTAATCCACTATCCCGTATCCAAAGAGGCTATACAATGCAATACTGTCTTACCATGTAGGTTAATGACCCATTGAGCATTCCATTTCCTATAGTCAAATAGATTCCACCAGCTAACCCTCTCCCGAGAGTTGGGTGGTATGCTGTCGACATACCTGAGGAAGTGTAGGAAACATCTTGTCAACATCAAATGATGTATTACCGGACACAGGAAATCGGGAATGGACAGTGACTTTGGGTGTTGCCTGAGGCTGAAGGACCAATGATAATTGAACACTCGAATGAGTAGGGTGGAGCCAGATCCCCTACATATACCCAGAATATCCAAGGAAACAAGAGAGAACAGGAAAGAAGGAGAAAGACACAGCAGAGAAGAAGGAACACTGAGAGATCCCGATCGGAACTCCAGCACACAGAAGTATAGTCCTATAGTTGCATAGACTTGGATAAATGTGAATTTTCTTCAGAAAGCTGTTGACTGGGAACCTTCCTGGATTAAAAAGGAAGAAGAATTACTACACTTTTGGTTTCTTTTTTTTCTTGACTTGAATCAGAAGAACAGTTTGATTTGCTGTAACAAATACCGGTACCAAGTGCAACCAGACGATTGCAAGTGGAAGCGATTTTGGACATCTTCCTGAACTGAACTTTGTTATATCATTGGAACTCTCTGTTTTGCCGTATATTCTAAACTCTATTTTTGTTGGACTTCTTGCATTTATTATTATTTTACTTTTTACAAGCGTACGCTGCATTGCCGACGGTCTCACTTGAGTAGTTTGTTAGGTTAGGTTAGGTTAGGTCCCTATTTGTAAATCCCCATTGCCCAATAAATCATTATTAAGTATATAATTAGAAAAGGTTCCTCTTGTTTTATTTGTGGCCATATATGTAAACATCTACCGACTGAGCCTGCGCGTAACTGGAACCCGAGCCCCCACGATGAATTAAGTGACGGGATTCGCTTACTTCAAATAGTGGTTACCCGCTACATAAATGATGCTCATGCCAGGCGAGTGTGCCTGAGATTTTTAATTAGCCTTAGCCATTGCTATGCTCAATGAAACAACCAAAAATGTTTTGGCAGGGTCTACACTGCCATCATCAGTGACTGCACACAGGCTGTCTCATTTATGAGAGAATAGGCACACGAAGATGTGAGTCGAACCATATCGAAAGATAGAACGTTCATGAATAGATATTAAGACAAGAATTAATAAGAAGAACTAAATAAAAATGACAAAGTTAAATTAACATGAGTTGTTGATGTGTAATGCCTCCTTCATTTTCAGTTGGTATTTGATTAGGGTCAATTATTTGGAAAACATTCCTCATTAAAACATTAACTACATTTGATGGAACTATTTAAGTGCTTATATTGGAGTTCTTGTCCATGTGCCAAGTGCTCTCGCATGCGTGTTTTTCCTTAAGTCGGTGGCTAATGTAGTGATATCTTCGTGAAAACTAGTCCAACTATTGTTAATTTTGTAGGTCCGATCAATGAGTGTCTAAACTAAACCAATTTTATAACGAAGTGAACACAAACTGAAGAAATTTAAAAGTAACCCAGTATTTCTGCTCCGAGGCACCCTGTACCTTGGGACCTTGGTATTGTTGAAGCCATAACAAGATTTACTTTTATAGGTTTAAGTGATGACCCCACTTAGACCCCATTAATTTGATCAAAAATTTAATAATTGAATAAAAAATGAGTTTGGGAGGTGCCAAAAATTAATAATTTCTTTAATTCGGATTTGCTTATCTTGAGGTTATTATCATTGTTATCAAGTATAGGATCATCTATAGGAACAATGAAAAGGTTGTGATGTATTTAATTTTTATTTATGTATTTGTATTATATATTATTAATATTGAATTGGTTCATGTTTTATGATGTGATGTTTTTGACAGGAAGGCCTATCTCCAGTGGATTATTATAAACGGAATTATTGTATCGGGTATGATGATACAAAGAGGAAAGAACAGAAAGAAGAACTCTTAAAACTCTTACTCAGTGAGTAATTTTTACTAAGTTTATATTTAATTATAATTATTTGTTAAAATCTGTTTAATATGGATTTCGTGTATTTTAGCTTGTAGTTAGCTTGCTTCACATGGTTACATTAAGGTAATACAGTAGTCAATTCAAATATCAAATCATACAGGCAAAACTCCCAAAACCCAGTCGCGAGTGTGGCTGCCCCGCAAAATATAAAAAGCAAGAAAATCATGCTCAAGTAGTCAATCAAAAGTCACCTCATGTCACGTTATTTTGCGAGATATCGCTCCTCATTCATCGCCCTACCCCACTTCACCTCGCTATTAGAACACCTGACCCCATTTCAAGAATCTTAAATAATCCACTGCCTAAATCATAGAAACTGTTTCCAAAATTTTGGCTACTTATCATGTCCACGAGAATATTATATTATTCCAATTTAAATACAGTATATCAGATAGGAAAAACGTCCTAAGTCAGGTTATATATTTCCAGTGAAATAACAATAAAGTACAGAGATAGCTAATGACAACCCTTAAGGATAAAAGCAGTTTTAATAAGTCTAAGACAGTCTTGGATTAATGTATACTAGTGTTGATGAAGGAAAATCTCTTTCTTTATTATTTTTTTTAACAGGGAGCAGTCACAGGGTGTATTATATCTGCTGCCTGCCTCAATATAATATTAAACTAAATATGGGGTCATTCCAGCTCAAATCAACCAGCATGCCCATGTGATCCCCCTTGGATTTTCCTGAAAAATTCTAAAATTAGCTTGATATGTCAAAAGACAGAATTTCAGCTTAAATTTCCAAGCGGTTTTTAAGTTATGACATTTTAAAATGTAAGTACTACGCCCCCTTTTTTCATGCTGGAAAAAATGGCTCCTCTAACTTTGTACGGTTTTTACAAAGCTATATCTTCAGAAATAACGAAGATAAAAAGTTGAAAATTGCTAAATATATTGAAAAATAACGAAGATAAAAAGTTGAAAATTGCTAAATATATTGAAATTTGGCCCCTCTTTCAAAAAATACCATTCGGAATTGGGTGGCATATTTCATTTCATTAGAATGTTATATTCTTCCTTAACAACCCCCCCCCCCCCCCCCCCCCTCAAAATTCCCCGAAGCATTGTGCGAAAATAGATTTTCGCTTTTTTGGAGGGTCGTATCTTATCATTCTTTAAAGTAAAGAAGTCAAAATTAAATATGTTATGAATATGTTCATAACATTACATTATTATATGAAAGATTGCTAGGTAATTCGAGCAGTAATGAAGGTATGATGGGGTCCCGAACATGGTTGCAGGACCATTGACCCTAAAAATACCCCCTACTTTGACCGACCGGATGACCCTGTGGACACTTAATATTGATTATGAAATTTATACAGTACATAGATACACATATCAACGTAAGTAGAAAGTTTAAACTTTGTTTCTTAACTACTTCAGTGGGAACTGATTTTTTTTTAAATAGACAGATTTCAGTGTATTATATATATCAGGTCAAAGTTCAAATCACAAATAAGTCAGTATTTGTGAATTGAACTTTGACCTGATATCCAGAATACATTAAAATCTGTCTAATTTTTAAAAATCATTTCACAGGTATTTTTTTTAATTTATTAAAGGAAAATCCAAAAGGGGTCACATGGGAACTTTTAAATTTCTGGCTGATTTGAGCCAGAATGACCCTATAAGTATAAGATTATCAGCACTGGTTGCTACTTGCTATTTAATAGATAAACGCCCGTATTCTTAAAACAGACTTTAGTCGAACTTGGAACTAGAAATTCATTTAGTCCTAGTTGCAACTTTAACTTCAATTTGTATTCACAAACAACGTAGTCGAAGTTTCAACTACAACAAAATCAAGTCCTGGTTTTAGTTCAGCTGAAGACGGCTGGCAAGCAACGACTATCAAACTAGAAAATGGAAATGGCTAATTTTAATAGCAAACGAAATTGTAGAGATCCGGTAACGCGGATGAATATTAAACTGCCGTCTGTGGTTTAAAAACGTATTTCCTCATAATTCTTAATAGACCATTATTCGCTAATTTAATTGTCTATAATAACATCTATATTAGCTGTTAACATATTACGATAGAGAATTTGAACAGTCGGTGAAAATTTGCTTCCTTGGGACAACTATTATAGTTGAGCCCGAGCTTGGGCGGCGCCATTTTTTTTTATTTTTACGGTGAATGGCGCCATTTTGTTGTTTTTACGGTGAAGCTACGTGACTGCAACGCGAGGGGATTTCGTCCAAATCTGGAACTATCGCAGGTGCCAGCAAAACAGGTTAATTTACCTTTTGGAAGCTGAATTTAATGTCTCTTTTATTGAATATACCGAAGATACATCAGACCTACTTATACAATCGTTTTGATCCTATGTACTTTATCGTGGTTACAAAAACCACGTTTTTAGTGGGGTAAAAATTTCAAGTCGGCGATTTAGCCTGACCCTAGGCTGACTAAAAAAATGGGCGTGCGAAGGTATCATTTTAGTCAAAGTTCGCATCATTTAGTCGTAGTGCTAGTCAAAGAATACGAAATGACGTAACTTTAAAGTTTTAGCTCAAACTACTATTAAAGTTAGCTTTAAGAATTCTGGGGTTAGAATGCCTATGTCTCTTATACCTATGTCGCGCGACTCACAGATTGATGAGAGTTGCTCCCAATTGTCAGTTGTCTAATGTTAGTTTGGATATCAGTTGATTTAGTCCAGTTGTAATGGCGACATAAGCTTAGCCTAAGTCTTTAAATGGTTTAAAAAGAGGCATTACAACACTCATAAATTGATGACATACTCTTTTCTTCCAATTGTTTTTCCCTGGACCAAAACTATGTACATATTGAAGTGGCAAACTCTCCAGCAAAGGACACTGTAAAACCTAGTCATTTGTACTCATTTTACTGATCATAAGTGTCGTAATAATTGAAAAAAATGAATACCTGGAGACCTGCAATAAAGACAGAGCATTATTAACGGGTTTATGCTTCGCCTGAGAAAATTATTTATAAATTAACATTGTTTATTTTTTTAGCGGGAATTGTCCCATTAGAAATATTGTCCCGTGGCACTGAAGCACTGAAAGCGTTTAATGAAGCTCTTGCAGAGGGAGAAGCAGAAGTTGATCAAGGAAGAACAATATTCATAGGCCTCGAAAGAGTAGGGAAAACGTCTACCATCAAGTCATTTCTAAATATTACGTAAGTTACCTTTTAAATTTGTAAAAAAAATGCTTATATTTCATTAATAACAAAACACATTAATTTCTTTCGTCATTTTCGCAAATTGAGCGTCGGTCAGTCATTAGAATTACATAGACTCAACTGCCTTCATTTGACACTCTATAAGTATTCCGCTCTGCATGGCAATAATAATAATAATAATAAATACAATATTACTGATGGGGGTTTATTCTCTTTTAAATATGTAACACTTTTCTATTGTTATATTTTAAACATTCACCTTTAAATATAGTAAGCCTTTTATAATTTAAAATACTTTTTATGTGTTTTTGTCAATGTATTTTTATGGAATTTTTATGTACTTTTTTTCTTGATAAATTTTTAATGTGGTTTTTTTCGAATTGCACTTTATTTTGCGAACTTTGTAGTTTCTTCGATTTTATTGAAGACAATAAAATCTACCTTGTATCATGTATCTTGTTTTTTTTTCTAATTAGCCATAACCGATATAATAGGTTTTGTTGAGTGATTATAACCAGGATATATCTTATTAAATATGTTAAAAACTTTTACATTGTAGGTTTTTATGTGTATATGGTACCGATTCTTGTGTCTGAATGCGTGCATTGTTAAATACACCTGTAACATGCAGGTGGCGTTTTGATGACAGCAGTTATACCGATCACCGTCTGTTTTGTTCTTCAGCTGTCTTATGAGGATGTACCAATATTAGTCTTATCCATTCCTTAATATGTTTTCTATTTACATTTTCATCTTCCCTTTGCAGGATTGATTGTTTACAAAAATTCTTCCTCTGATCACATGGTCAAACTATCAACAGCCTCTCCTTCTTTGCCATTATAGCTCTCCATAAGTGCATGCACAACTATGCTTCTAGTGTAACTTTTGTAACTTCGACTAAATCACGACGGAAATGCTAATGCGGAAATGCGATCTAAAATTAGATCTTTCGATTTTTTAGATCGCTCGATTTGAATGGGAAAAGTAAATATCGATTGGATACGTGAGTGTGAACGTATACGGATGATGTCGACATATGGTACCAAAACATCAATATGGAAGAATTCAACAAAACGAAAGAAGTGTACTTGCGCTTGAAATTATTTTCTTGCTATATTGAAATTAGAGCTGATACATTTAATTAACTGTAGTACAAAGGCCTAGGATAGATTGTTACCTGCATTAATTAGTTACACTGCAGAGAGTAATATAACACTAGCCTACATACAGTCGCTTCCCACTGCAATATCACTGCTGAACAATCATGATACTGTATTAAACAACATTCATGAACTAAATATAATCTTACCTACATCAAGTCCAAGGCTGGTTAAAAACACATGCATTATGAATTGTTGGTTGAGAAACCCACTCTCAACACAAGAGACTGAGCAGCAGACCTAGGTAGGACTGAGAGGAGTTAGGTCGAGGCCTGGTCTTAGGCTCTACTAGCACTACTATTACTACTACTACTAGGCATAGGCTATTTAGACTAGGCTAGGCCTTTCTAGCTGGCCTTGTGCATGAATCATAATGATTGTACTCTCCCTTCAAAGTCACCTTGTAAATATGGTCAGACTCGACTACTTTCGATGATAGGTGCAGTATAATTGCATTCATCGTAAACAACACTTTCTTCCATATAAAATAATACTGTACTACAATCTAGCCTACACCTACACCAGGTTTTGCCTACACCTTCTATGAAAATGTATTTTGCTGTTTTAGTGCTGCACGTGAAAAATGTTTTTCAGTTCTCTACTGCGCCGTTTGTAACAAATTCTAACAATTTACATTTGTTCCCTGCGAAAACTGACCTATTCATATGTTTATTGATTTGTACACTAAAAACACAATTTGGTTTTTCTTGATCAGGCGCGAATCCAGGATTTTCCCTGACCTTCGCACACTAATCGAGTGGGGGGATCTAGAAATTCGAAATAGAGGGTGCCCAGAGAGGGACTTTCAGAGACAGACACGCTCATCCCCACCATAGTTGGGGCTGAGGTAAGAAAAAATAAGATTACCGGTACGTCACCTCTAGATGGCCGGAAACGGCGCATTCATGATTTGAATATAATTTTCATTTTCTTTCCATTCTTCAAAAATAATTTTAAAATATTTACGGGGGCCCGGGCTGATTGGGTTCCTCTGAATCTTCTACTGTATGGGGGAATCCTCTAACGCTCAGGTGAGGTTTTTAAAACAAATATTTCTTATTACGGAATTTCTATAACAAGATAAACGAACAGATTCTTGAGATAGAGAGAGTGGGGAGAGAAAGTAGGAAAGAGAGGACTTGATGGTTGTTAATAAAATATTATTCGGACACGCCTTTTATCAACTATAAACAACATATAAAGAGCTGTATCAAGAACTTTGAGGGCACAAAGGATATCAATTGCTGGACATTGCTACAGAAGTAAAAATAAAGTTATTTCAGTGGTTATGTTTTGGGAATCAACCCATGGGGATTGGAAGCAAGAACTGCACTGACTACATGCATCGAGCAATTAGGAAAAGGATCTAAACACAGTGGCAGTACATTCCACAACTTAAGATAAAGAGAGAGAGAGACACGGAAGATATTGCTGCAGTGGTGTATGGGGGAAGGGGTTGGGGATGCTCAGGGTGCCTGAGGGTCCTTCTTCAGAGGTCAAATGTTAAAAAATAACCGACATAAATTTTAAGTATTAAAGTGCCATTCCCGTCTTCCAAAAGTCCCCAATTCCTAACATTTTCTCACCTCAGCCTTAACCATGATGGGGCTCAGGTGGATATAGAAAGTTTCCTAGTTTTTAATGTATTAAGGTACGGTACGGTTTTCTGGCATCTAAAGTCTCAAATTTCTACAATTGTCTTAGCTCAGTCTCAATCATGATGGACTGAGGTGGGTGGATTAGAAGTTTTCATATATTTTAAGTGTGGGGCTCAGGTAGAAATCGTAAATTTTGTACTGTTGAAGTACTATTTTTGGGCATCTCTACCAGTCTCAATTTCCAAAACTATTCTCATAACATGGTGGGGCTCAGTTGGATATGGTACTTTTTAAAATTGTAAGAATTTAAGTACCTATTTAATTAATTCGGGGTTTTTTTAACTCAATTCCTCAAAAATAAAAAGAATTACAATGTAATTTAAGTTCCATTTTCGGCCATCCAGAGGTAAAAAATACTGACGTCGTGTGTATTCTCATTTTATCAGCACCCCTTTCCTTAAATCCTGGATTTTTGTTGAAAACAATAACTGAATATATTTTCATTCGTTTTGTTCATGTGAATGTCTGATAGGTTATTACTTTAAAACAATAGCAAAAACACAAAGTGTCAATATCAACATAGACACATGTACGACTGAGTTGAGCGACGTAGTGGTTACGTAACAACTGTCATACACTGTATCATGCGCTATAGAAATGGAAGGCCATAATGTATTTTGAGGATGTACCTCTCTGTAGGGCCTACAGTACAATCAGTGTAAAAGTCTAAGATATAGGCTAGTGTGGATTTTAACAATGTCTTAATGGTAATGTTGAAAATAAGTGTCAAGGAAAGTTAGTATGATTGTAAAAAAAATGTCAACTTTCTGTTTTTATTTCTCACCCTGACCTTTGCAGTGTGAACTGAGCGAAGGTCTGGATCCGCGCCTGTTGATTTAAAAATAATACGTCCAATACAGTAGTTTAAAATAAGCAAATATAAAAAAGAAATATGTTTTTCAAGAAAGTTTATGATTAGGCACATAAACTAATTTCATTTTCATAGGCTACAATATATTGCTATAGGGGATGTGCTCGAAATGTTTGAACAAATAAATTTAATGTATATTCAATGTATAGTATTGTAAAGTCAACGTACTAACGGTCTTCAAAAACAGTAGGAAAGGTATCACGGCCGTTATTTGAGGAAGAAATTTTTTCTCATTCAAAGTTTTAAATGTAAGTTAACAACTTACATAAATATACAAATTAGGCGATTCAAGTATGTAATTGCATTTTACATTTTTCAGCTATTCAATAATTGCCACTTAACAGATGTATATTTAACTCTTTTGTCGTTTTATGCACTGAAATTCTCTATTTCTACTAGATAGTAATATCGTTAAAAGTAATTGTAGCAAATTGTGTATGTACAATAGGCTTAAGCCTATTTTAATCATTATTTTACAATGTAAAAATTATTGTAGGGCTCTATTAAAAATACCTATTTTTTATTGCACAAATTCACGTGTATACAGTGTACTGTACATTTTCATGATGAAATATAATAAACTCACAATTTAGCGCTGTTAGCTGACCAGTCGGATTCGCCGTCGTTTCCATTTTACCAAAATGCATAACGTTTTCATGAGTACGCTAAACCAATCAAACTGACTTCCTGAACAGAACGTAAGAAAAGTTGACAGTGTAGTTACGCATGCGCACTTCAAAGTAGGTCAAGCTAATTATGCAAATTATGACGTGTAACGTTTCCGTTGTGACTTTGAAAAGTCCCTGTTCTTGTCTCGACGGATTGGTTTCAATTCGGCTAATGCTGAGATGGCAGTTGCAATCTTTATTTTGATTTAACTACATATGTTGCACCACCCTCAATGACTGTTCCGTCAAACTTCAACTGTGGGTGATACATTCAAGTTTCACTTCATATACTAAAATTTAATATCTTTTTTTTACTCCATCTTTGTAATTTTGTGCTTGGCTGCATTAATCTTCATTTTCATATTTCGTGCAGTTTGCTGTAGCATTCTTATGTTGCTCCTGTCATTAGGTTATTACCATTAGCAAATCGCAGGGTGGCGTTGGTCGATTGGCTAGAACGCTGTCCAGCAGTGGGGCAGTGGCTTAAACCCCATCGAATAGGTCAAGCCCCCCCCCCCCCATCGAACAGAGCTCGTCGAGAAGTCGGACCAAAACAAAATTGGCCTAATGAAAGGAAATGCGTGTCTATTGAGTTGACTTTGAGGTTATAGTAACAATTATATTTTATCAACTTTACATTTAAATGTATTTGAAGTTTGATAATACAATTTCCGGCCATCCAGAGGTTCTTATTTATAAAAAAATTCTCATTACAGACCAGCTCAGTGAGAACCTCGGATGGCCATGCGAGCCAAAATTATCTTTATCTCACTCAGCCCCTTGTCGGACAGCTCAGCAACTCTGTCCAGGCCTGTCCGATGGATGGGGGATTTTTCTGATCCCCGCTTGTCAGAACTGTCACTGCATTATGTGCGTTATGATTTTCTCTACCTACTAACCTTGTTAGGACCATGTTAAGTTTAAGGAATAGCTTTAGTTTAAGGATTAGACAAATTATTTTTTTAACTGTATAAATCAGAACACGTTTACGTAATTAGGCCGACCAGCCCTCCTTAAACTAACGTTAGAATACCGCACTTTCGGCGGTAAAGAACAATTAAAACCTCATAAAAAAAAGGCAACTAATCCGTTTACCTATAATTGAATCCAATGACAACAGTGTTAAACACTCAGTACTTTTCCTTGATAATGTGTTAATCCAATTAATATAGTGAGATAACGTAACGTTAGTTTATCGAGGGCGGGTTGAGCTACTGGTGTTTTACATTGAATACGACTCTCGGCGCTATGAATTCACTGGAAGTAGTGCGGTATAAATCCTTACTAGAGATTATAGATAATATGTCTTGGTCTTTTAAGACTTGTCATGATGTTTGAGGAATGTGACAGATTTGTTTGTGGGTAAAACACAGCCTGGTCAAATTTTAATCGTGTGTACTGAGCTAATATTCATGGGACTGCACTTAACTGCCAGAGATCTATAAGATATTTTATTGTCAGATTACTCTTCTGTAGCGTTTTAATTATTAGGCCTATTCTTCCCTATGAAGTTTCTTCGATGAAACAATCAAAATATTTTAATAATAATAATAATAATAATAATAATAATAATAATAATAATAATAATAATAATAATAATAATAATAATAATAATAATAATAATAATAACAAATAATACTAATAATAAGTTTACCCTTTGAGTTTTTTTTTATAAATATGTCTTTAAATATTATTTTGCTTTAAGTTTCAATCCACATGAGGAAATTACTGATGCAATTGCAGACATAACAACAGTATGCTCTGAGGATTTGCATGATGAGTTTAACTGGAGGAAAACAACACATGATGATCGTAAGAAATTTAAAATTTTGACAGTTAAAATTTTAATTATAATATAACAGTATTTGTAATTTTGTTTATATAACACATTTGTAATTTTCCTTTTTTTCATCGCTCTCACATTTGATTAATTAGAGTATGCTTTTATTAGCCCTTACTTTAGTAATTTGTTTTAAAATGGATTATGTTACAAAACAAAACCCTCAATAGTTCCCACAAATTATATTCATTTTAACAGCTAAGTTTTGTTCTTTTATTAGAAGGAGTTACTGACATCTATGAGGCGGAAGTGTCAGAATCAATAGCCAAAACATTGTTAGAAAAAGAGAAAATAATACCAGAGGAAGTAAGAATAATTCCTTACCAATTTATTTTATTTGAATATAAAAATATTTAAAAACAAAAACAACAACAACAATAATAATAATAATAATAATAATAATAATAATAATAATAATAATTTTATGTCACAATTGTTTTAAGAGCTTGTTATCATCAAGTATTAACGCAGAAGGACAGAAAACCACAGATGATCAGGGTAAGTTTTTTTTGCTTGCGTTGTTTTCATTGAAATTTAACTAATTTTTATACACAACACTGTAAAAAAATAAATAAATTTTCATTAAACGGTTTTAATAATAATTATTATAAGAACTTGATTATACAAATCTACGATTATAGAAGTATATGCACTTAATTTATATATATATATACAATAATATATACTATATATATATATATACGCTTGACATATATATATATATACTGTCTCTTATACACATCTAGATGTGTATAAGAGACAGCTATTAATACCGATTGTTGTTCAATTGATTCTGTCATTACCACCACCAATAAAACCACTACCTCCAGCCCCATCCCCACCAGCTTCAAAGGGGAGACAGTTCTTAAGATTCTACCATAAAACTATCATCCAACATAGGGTTTCACAAAATGTTAAGGTTAAATTAAACTAAGTACATAAAGCTCTGGCATGTGATCTTAGCATGGTCTTACTTCAATAATTATTTTAGAAAATTATTTATTGAAACTGACATTAAAGCAAATTTGTGGTTTACAAAAATGTAAATACTACAATGATTTAGATATCGTTCATGCACTCGTTGCAACTACATGTCACACATTTGTAACCAGTGAGCGGGCTGTATGCAATTTATTCCTGTTAGCAAATTTTGTGTTCGAAAACTAGTCTTGTTGACTTTTGTGAACATTTCAAGCAACCTTTTCAATATTGTGTTCTTGGCTTATCAAGGTCGCCAAAGTACTCCAGTATTTCTACCATTAGTACAATAGTTTAGACAAACATATTTTCATCTTAAGCATTGTTATCAAAACAAAAAAACACATTTTTGCTCGGTGTGATTGATAAGTCAGGACCTGTCTCTTATACACATAACAGATAAGTTCTACAATAGTATAAGCTAGAGTGAAAATACCAACAATAATATATAATGAATAGGCCTAACAGAATAATAATAATAATAAAACCAGAATAAATAGTAATAAAATTATAATTAAAAGTAACCGAAAACTAAGAGAATATTTAGCGGCAGAAGGAAAATTCATTGATGAATCCCAAGTCTTTATTGAGGCCGTGAGTGTGTGTTTTGAGTTTTAAAATTTATTTCAGTTCTTATAAATCATCAAATATTACTAACAGAAAAGTTTTGTTAATGATAAAGGATTAAGTATAGTTTCTTAATCAAGAAATTTTAATGAAACCTGAAATTAAAAAGATTGTTTTTATTTTCGCATTAACAGCGAAGTTAATGAATTACATAAAAAAATCTTACGCTAATGACAATGATAATGAGCATATATTGACAGACATTAAAGTAGATCTTGAAGTAATGCACAAAGCACTCTTAATTCCCAAATATAATAAAGCACCCCGAGTTGATAGCATAACAAATGAACTTCTTAAAAATGGAGGTAATGTAATATAAAAACAACCCTCATGATTTTATTCAACAAATTAATCTAAATCGAAAAGTCCCCAAGTGAATGCAATTTAGGTATCATTGTTCCTATTTTTTTTAAAGGAGACAAGAGGGATTTGAATAACTATCGGGGTATTTCATTACCTTCTTGCGTTTCAAAAAATTTTAACAGGATTATTTCCATGCATATCTCTAATTTTGTTGAACAAGAAGATTTGCTTTCGGAAGTTCAGGGAGCCTTCGGACCTCAGCACAGATAAGATCATATTTTTACCCTAGAAAGCATAATAACTTGCAGACGTAAGAAGGGAAAAATACATATCCAGCCTTTCTGGACTTCCAGAAAGCATTTGATAGTGTGTGGCGTGTGTAATGATATGTTATAGACAGTAATTATACAGTACATAGGCTTTTCTGACGTTCTTTTATGTTCCTTTATTGGTATCTTGTTATCATCTGCCTTAAGGCTCATGTGTCCTTACTCTATGTATCATACAATAGAGGGCTCACTCATAATCTTAAGTACCTTCATTACATCTCCCTTTTTTATTTTATTTATTTATTTATTTTATTTTATTTTTAATGAATCTGTTTATCTAATATTTCTTTGTAGCACTTTAAAAAAAATCCTCAACAGGTAATACATTCTCTTTCAAAATATAAAGTATTATATCAAACATTTCTTTTTAGCACATATTTCCCTTTCCTTAATACACAATCCTCAATACATTCTCTTTCATTTGATACAATTCTACAACAAACTAATAATAACTACATTCTGTTAATGGATGTTCATTAACCTTTGTGCTCAGAAGTAGACTATCCTAGCACAGTGATTATACAGGGATTATTCTGCCATTTTTATATAATCACAGATCAAGTTTTGTAACAGGTTTTCTGTTACGTTTCGGGTGGCGAAGCCGGTTTTGTCTTGTGCTATTTGCTTCTATTCGCCAGTCTTGAGTATTTTGACATCCTTCCTGTTCAATCAAATCTCTACGATTCCTCCTGTATCGCTTTCAACTATATACGATATTGGCGTATTGTGTTTTTCAACAACTAGCGCTGGCTTCCATTGTGTATCTCTATTTTCAGTGCTTTGAGAGGTTTTGCTCCACGATCGTAATAGGTTTTCTGTTTATTTTGTTTGTTTTGTAGCGTTTTGACAATATATTTGTTAGTTTTCGGTTTTAGAAGTTTCTTTGACGTTGGCAACTGCGTTTTTGTTCTACGGCTCATTAGCAATTGAACTGGGGACGGTAGTCCATCTCGCGGCGTAATTTGGGGACACTAAAGTATGTTCAAATTCATATTTGCGGTGATGAAAATTGCGGTCCATTGTCTGACACTACCTTACTTGGGATTCCATGTCTCGCAAATTGTTGCTTACACAATTTGATGACTGAATTGGATTTCGTACTTGTCAACTGATTTATTTCCTCAAAAATCTATCCCGACTTTTTGCCATGGACGTGTTGGTATATCATGTCCTATCATCGGTTCTTTTGTGTTTCGATTTCTGTGTGTTAGACAAATCTCACACCTGCTCACTGTATCCGCTATTTGTGCATTCATACCAAGCCTGAACATATATCTCGCGCAAGTCTCTTGGTTTTTTCAATACCTTGATGACTTACATAAAAGCTTTGCAATCATCTGTTTTCTCAGGTTTGCTGGTATTATCACTCTGTCATTTTAAACAATAGCTCATCTTCCAATAATATTTCCTGTCTGTAATCCCAGTATGGTTTTAACTCAGTATATATGATCGCTTTGTTACTTGGCCATCCTTCTCCGATAACTTCCTTTAGTTTTTGTCCAAAGAGCTATCATTTGTCGTTTCTTGTTTAATTTCTACTAGCTTTTCTTTTGACATTGATAGATTTTTTTCCATGTATATCGGTATTTTCTTTTTCTACATCTGGTAGATGATTTCTACTCAATGCATCTGCTATATACAGTTCTTTACCTTTCTTGTAAATCAATTCGGGACAGGTTACAGGTTAATTTAATGAAGATAAGTGTGTTAAACAGGGGTGTGTTTTGTCTCAAATATTATTTTGTATCTTTATTAATGAATTTGTGATAGTTTTTCGTAATAATAATGTAGGTATTAGGATGAACAGTTCATGGATGGGAGGCCTCTTTTGGGCCGACGATGTTGTCTTGATGGCAAAATGATAAAAATGTTGGATATCATCGGAAAACGTATAAACCGAGAGAAGAAATGGAAAATAGGTGAAAAAATCATGAGGTAAAAAACAGAGGTAAACACTTACAATTTGGGCGTTATAGTTTCTTCGAATCAAAGGAACATGGTCATTACCAACACGTTATCCGAAAGGGAAATCGTCTAATTTCATATATTAAAGGTATAATAGGAAATCCTGATAATTTCAATAGGGTCTACTATGGAAATATATAATGGAAAACAATAGCTCTTTTATCAATAAATTATGCGTGTGGAAATTGGCATAATAACTCTAAAAATAATAATTATGACCTAGAGAAATTACAACTGCAAACGTCCAGATTCCTACTTAAAGCTCGTTGGTGTACACCTCAGGAAGCACTTTATGGTGATTTTGGTTGGACCCCAATATCTCAAACACATGAAGTGAATAAAATAAAATTTCTTAACCGAATCGTAAAAATGAATGTAAACCGGTGGCCTAATATTTTACTCCACTGCATGTTTCAACTCAACTGTGATTTTAATATGTTGAAATATCCTTTTTAAATTTATGTAAGGATACATTAGATAAGTTTCATGATTTGAACTTGTTCGAACAAATGTTTGATTTTAATAATTTTACTTTTAATAACTTTTCAACTAGAACTATTAGCACCTTTATTGCAGATTTTTAAAAACAAGATTGGATAAACAAAATACAACAAAAGACATCACTAAAAGTTTTAAAATTAAAATCCAGCCCAAGCCTTGAAAAATATCTTCTACATAAAACAATTTTCTTAGGGACAAGTTTAAAATTTAAATTAAGATCAAATACTCTACCCCTAGATGGCATCACCTGTAAGTAGTCAAAAGAGATATCCGGTCATTGTACCGTGTGCGAAAATGGTGAGATCGAAGATGTCAGACACTTTTTATTTATTTAATTCGAGGTTATTAGGGAATATGGGAAACCACTGATCTTAGCGATGAGGTTTTTGCCGCATTTTGACAAATACTGCAAACATTATTTAAAACTTGCATGGGAGGAACGTTCATGTTTAAAACTGCTTTGATTTTACATTGTTGCTTTAAGTTACTTTTCTTTGTTCTTCGGTATTTAATGGGCTAATTGTTAAGCCTTTTGTTTTTGTTTAATTCTAATTTTGTTTTCATTGATACTTTTGTTACGTTTTGGGAAAAATATGAGAAACCACTGATCTTAGCGATGAGGTGTTTACCGTATTTGACAAGTACTGCAAAAAGTATTTAAAACTTGCATGGGAGGAACGTTCATGTTTGAAACTACTTTGATAATATTACATTGTTGCTTTAAGTTACTTTTCTCTGTTCTTCGATATTTTATAGGCTAATTGTTAAGCCTTTTGTTTTTGTTTAATTCTAATT